TCTTTCGTTTTTTTGGATTAGTGGACCGCACTGGCGATAGCCATCAAAGTTGAGGCACAGTTTTTCCCTCTCTGGTAGGTGGAGTCACAGTAGTCTTTGACGGCATTTTCTTAGAAGCAACCGCAGCGTAGGATGTCCAGTTATTCTTTATCCTGGGCTTGCTAATGTTTGTGTTTCGAGCATGTCAACTGAATTACTAGTCATTACACCCTTGAGGAACGTAGAAGCCGGTGGGTTGTAAACAACTTCTTTCTTAGTGAAGTCATTTGCCAGGGGCCGTTGTATACTGAGAAGCCGTAGTGAGGTTGGGACGCCTGGCATTGGATATTTTCACGCATGCGTTGCTAGCGTTCACCAGTTGCTTAACTGTTTCCGCCAACTTTTCACAACTTTTCATTAGGCAAATTACACAACTAACAACAGGGATGGATTTGCATACTTGGCAGAACCAAAATGCTTCGGTATTGTCTAGTTTCGAGTGCATCCATCCCTAAACACTTCAAATGGTACTCTTTTTGTCAGCTAAAGCAAACTTGATTAGACTTAACGGTTTTTACACCCAGGTTACAATTGACTATCGAATGGGCCAGATTTATTTTTGATGTGCACTTTGTCATTGTGACTTGCACCAATTCCAATAGTGAGTAGATAGAAAAGGAGAGTTCAGCAGCTGGGTAGTAGATATCTTACTTATCTACTTACCACTAGCTTAGAATAGAATAATTCTACTAATATATGTGGTCACAGTCAGTAATGGGGCAGCGTTTGAGGAATGACCGCTGATGGTAATGATATGGTGTAAAGATTCCACAATAACAAGATGGAATGTAGCAAATGGATGTACACTACAACAGCGATAGCAAGAAGGCAGATACTGACGCACCGTGTATGCTTTCGCTTCGCGTTTCGTTGCGTGGCAATCGGCGCTGGTTTGAGGTCAGAGGGGTCAGACGTGCCACGTCCAGATGAGTCACATGTTCCTTAGGTGAGATGCGTTGTATCGATCCCGCCTGTAAGCGGCTAGGCGGATAGGTAGGATTGCAGGAAAGCATGATGACTTGGAAGATACTATTTAACGACGAGGGTGGCTGCTCCAAGGGCGGACCAAATTAAAAGCTATCGCTTTGTAAAGCAAGTAGAAGGAATGGTAGCAAGATTTTCGGGTGACTCTCAAAGGGATTTAAATTGAGACCACAATAATTCTTGTGCGACGCGAGGAAAAATAATTTTCCGATAAGATTCAAACACGGTAGACTTCAAAATTGCAAAAGCACAGTTTGCTGGGGATCCGCGAAGAACAGCTCAGAAAGATGAGCAGAAGTAGGAGGAGCTCGCGGAGCCCATCGCATGATAGTACGTAGGTCTATGCGAGAATAAATCCGAGCTAAATGCGAATAACGCAGGAGGACACTTTTATTACGGCCGCTCGGTAGGCATGGTAGAATTCCTAGGCGAACTCGTTTCATCGCCTGGTATCGAAGTCCTTTCCGATAGAATTCAGGCAATCAGACTTCACAACTCCGACTTCATTCAAGCACCTCCGTTGATTTTGTGGTTTACGCAACTACTGTTTATGTTACATTCCGCTCTGCGTTCAGCTCATGACAGCTCTGCCTGACCTACTCAGAGGAAAAGAAAGCACATTTGCTTTCCCTGACACAGCACAGAGAGACTTCGCCAAGCTCAAGGATGCTATCTCCAACATAGCCCTCCTCGCTCATTCCGAATCAACTGTATCCCTTTCTAGTACGACCGATGCCTCAGAAATCGCGGTAGGAACCGTCCTCCAACTACAGGTTGGTGGGCAATGGCAATGCTTTGCGTTCTTCTCCAAGCGCCTGCAGCCAACGGTATCCCGCTACAGCACCTTTGACAGAGAACTGCTCCACATTTACCCAGCCATTCGTCACTAACGGCACATTCTCGAAGGCCGAGCTTATACTACACTAACCACAAGCCCCCTCATATTCGCCTTTAACACTGCTTGCGACAAACATTCACAACGGAAAACAAGACGCCCAGACTTTCTCACGCAGTTCACTGCCGACAAACGTCATGTCTCAAGCGTCGACAATCCCGTCGCAGACGCTCTCTCATGCGTCAACCTCACTCTGCAGTCTTTGCCTACCCTCGAACTTGCCGCCAATGCATCGGCTCAGGCTAACGATGAATACGAACAACGCACACTGCAGTCCACTTCGCTGCATGTGCAACCCGTTCCTCTCCAAACCACGGAAGGAAGCGTTCTCTGTGAAACTTCCATGGGTTATCCTAGATACCTCGTGCCCGTCCCCTTCAGACGCACAGTCTTTGTCGCACTGCACTCATTATCACATCCCGGTATCCGTGCATCTATAAAACTGGTCACCGAACATTTCGTTTGGCCACACGTAAACAAACATTTTCGTACCTGGGCTAGCTGCTGACTTCACTGCCAGTGCTCCAAAGTACATCGTCACACCCGCAGTCCTACTGGTTCATTTCACGCCCCGTACTCTCGGTGCTCGTATGTATACCTAGACCGGGTAGGATCATTACCTCTTTCACGCATATTCGTATACATACCTATATGTGTTGACTGCTTCAGCAGATGGGCAGAACGCATTCTCCTAATACTGAAACTGTTATCCGGACCTTCTTAGGCGGATGGGTCTCGCACTACGGATGCCCATCCACCATTACAACTGACCGATGAACACCTTTGGAATCTACACAATTCCATACGTTATGCAACTTTCTAGGCTGTCGCTGCATTCATAACACAGCGTATCACCCAGCAGCAACGGTTTAGTTGAACGATACCGTAGACAGCTTAAAGTTTGGCTCTGCGCCTCTTCTGAACCAAGCTGGAGCGAAAACATTACGCTCGTACTCTTAAGAATCCGCAGCATCATCAAAGCTGACTTGCAATGTGCACAAGTAGAGCTGGTTTACGGTACAACGCTAAAATTATCAGCAGAATCCGTTTCACCTCCTGCATCGTCGGGTATGACTCCGCCGAATTTTGCATCCTTCCTAGCTCAAAGCACGTGTTCACAATGCACGACTCTTCCCCGCGAGCCGACAAGAGATGTGCAAAGGCACGGCGGACTCTCTACCTGCACTCACATCTTCCTCCGCACCGACTCAGTGTGGCGCCCTCTCCAGTCTCCCTACACTGGCCATTTCAGAGTCCTGCAGCCCAATCCAAAACATTTTTTTAAAGACCAGAATGGTCACCGAAAAACGGTGCCATCGACCGCCTCAAAGTTGGTTTATTTGACACGAACCTCTTTCAACCCATCCTGATGCTATCACTTAAGCACCCGCACCTGCGGTGACTTCCCGAGCACTGGATATCCCGAAACCCTCAGTTTCCCTCGAGTCTTAACCTACCACGTCTCAACCCCAGGCAACCGACCAACGTGGTAGATAGGGCAAACGTTGGGTCCGTTTTACAGATTTTGTAAGCGTTTGATATTTCCATTAAAGCGCTTTTTCGTCTTTGGTGGTAACCGTGCGTCTCATCCATAAGCGTTTTGTAAAATCGACGAAAAATCCCACAACATTTTGAAAAGTTAAAAAGCGTATTTGCTTTTATCATGCATGTCATTTTCCCTCTCCTGCATCAAGTCACTTTACCCGACCTTCGCCCACCCCCTCTGAGATCTACCATCCAGAAATTCAACGGCCGGAACTGTCAAGGCAACCCGCGACTGACTCAGCAATCGGCTCGACGCAACCCCGAGTGACTCGCCAGCCGACCCAACAACCCTTAGTATCCCAAGGAACAGTCAGTCGCCCTCGGCCGTGAAAGGCCAAGAGCGGGTTGGTCCCCAAACGCCTGGCTTTGCGTTGCCGACGAGGAAGCCGGATTTCTTCGTTGGACGAGCAAGTCCGGATTTGTTGCTGGAACGAGGACCGTGGACTGGGGTGCGGTGGGGGGAGTGGCACCTCCCAAGAGCACCGTCTTGTCTACAGCGGAAGGAATGTCCTGTCGGCCCTTTTTGGACTCGCCAGCATTTTTTGCAGTCCAACCATCCCACCCCGATGACCATCGATGATGCAATCTGGTCCACACGATCATCCTAACTAATAAATAACAATAGCCTAGACCCAGCGAACACTGCTACAACCCCATATTGGAAGCCCTTGTTCAAGCACGTGCAACTACTCGCACATATCCTGACCTCACGGTTTTACTCACTAACAGCTCCATCGAAGGCTTCTATCATTTAGTCATCTAGGGTTAGGCCATTGTAGAGTACCGGGAAACACTCCCTTCCAGTGGCTTGCGAAATTGGATCTAACTGTTAACTTAACCTTCGAAAAGCCCACTTGTTTTACTGACGGCACTTCCGGTGACACAAATTTTTTATTAAGTATCTTGCTGCAATGCTTCTCGCGCTGGTTTATTCGCTTCCTATTTTTGTAGCCTGCATAATACACCCAACAGATAACTAAGACTTAACGTTATTGGAAAATATAATGCAATAGCTTAACGGATTTAAGTTTTTTGGATCGCATCATTATAGCCTAGATACTGAACACTTAGCTTTGCTATTTTCGGAGAGTAATTACCAAATTTCTTTACAGTCTATTTCAATGTTATTTCCAGTGGACGGGGATATTGCTGCTTCATTTTGTGAAGCTTTCCTGGCGATCAAGCCTTTCGACGTACAAAAATGATTAGCTAACTAGATAAAGCATTATTTTTACGTCTATAACCAAGTTTATCAATGTCACAACAAATTCCATTGAAGTTGTGGAGCACGGCCTAGTAAAGTACATTCATGTAAAGTGAGACTGCACCCGCCGTCCAGCACATTATTTCAGACAGTTGTTAAACTCTATAGTTTTGGAACGCGGTTTTTTCTGCACATTTATCTGCAACAACAAAAGCTTCAGGCTCAGTTGCATAGACAAAATTTGGGCATTTTCGGAAAGTTGCATTCGACGAAAGTTTCGCTGCCATATCTGGTACGAGCGACCCAAGTGGAACAACGACTAGCCGTGTCTCTATGGTTGCTACCGTGGGTACGCTCAAGAACCCCACAATTACCTGGCCAGCCAGTCTCGTAGGAATTCCAGACTCCAATTCAAATATGGCTGAAATCTCCTTGCCGACGTCAATATCTGCTCTGTCTCCACACGCCACTTTAGCTGCATCTTTGGCCGCGGCACAACAGCAGCAGGTGTTGATGTCTGCTCTCCGACAGAATGGTGCCCAACAGTCTGCAGTCCTCATCCATCAGCTCAACCCCAGCTGTAACGCGTCTTCGACAATTCTCCCCGCACAATTCAGTGCTCTCATCCCATCAGCAACAACCTTTGCTAGTTTACGCAATGCAGCTCAAAAACTGAAGCAACGAGAATAACAGCAGCAGCAGCAACAGCGCTTTCTCTCAACTACCTCAAGCCCAAACAGCGCCAAAAGCAATGTACGCAGGTCCAACTGCAGCATCATCCTCAGCATGCTGCTGCCGGCTCAGCTATTGCTGCTGCATAGACACAACGACAACTTCAGCAGCAACAGACACAGGACGTTCTTGGAAAAGAGATTTGCATGTTTGGCAACCTTCGCACGTGTGTATATAACGCTCCTTGATTGCTTCCTCCTCGTATATAGTGTAAGGTTCTCGCGAATTGCGAATCTAAAAGAAACAGGCTTGTCCTACCGACAAAGCGTAATAAAACTCCTAAGCGAAACGCAACCCGGTGATCTTTAGCTGTCACGGTTGTTAAGCAAATGCAGAGCCTACCAAAACCCACATATATAGATGACGATTTTCTATGGGAGATGGGGATACAACGACTACCCAGTGAAAGGTACCACGTACCTTTTGCCAATGACGATGTTCCACTGTCCCTGTTGGCTGACACCGCCGACCTTGTTTGGGAATCTTACGCTCAAGTTTCGCAGGTCCAATAGACAACTGATGCTGACGTAGCGGAACCCAGGGCACAGATGGCCGAGTTTAATAAATGACTCGAAGACATTTCAGTTTCCGAATCTAATTGCCGATCTCGTCCTAAAAGTCGAACCGGTTTTCCATCCTATTCGGAGTCCCCGCCTAGACCATCCTATTGCTGGTACACCAACCGATTTGGTCCGTAAGCCAGATCGTTGCTGTTCCTATTGTTCCTTTAAGAGCTAAACACAGGGAGACGGACCGACCAGCACGTAGAGGCGACGGACGTCGCTGGTAATCTCAATCGCCTTTCTTTCGTTACCGACCGTAAAACAGGACTAGGCTACCTCGTTGACACAGGCGCAGAATTTAGCGTTGTCCCAAGTAATCCCACAGACGTTACTGCGAAGGTGATTAGCTCCTTGCACACAGCCAACGGAACCTGCGCAAATGAAATTTCATCATTCTTTTGGTAAAGCAAATGTTATTCACATTTGCAAACGACTTGTGTTTCCCAACTTTATCGTGATTTGAAACAAGCAGTTCCCTTTATAAACCGTAACAGAAATATCAGACGACGTAAGCCGTAAGAGGACCCGGTCATTTTGTGCCTATCTCCTGGGCTACATATACGTAAGCTAACAATTTGAAAACAAGCAATGTCGGATGCGGTCGATTGGTCAGCTGACAACCAGCTATTACTGCGGCACTACCACGGCAGGATAACTACAACAATCAGGAGGCATCTGCTGTACACTGGTCACCAGGTCAACCCAAGTGACTCACTTATTGTCCACATGCGTAACCAAAAGCCGCATGTACTCAAGCTACTGGAAGCCATCGTAATCAATCGCGAGCGGCCGCCTCTGTGCGTACAGAAGCAGTTGACAGTAACATTGAGCCTGTCGTGGTAGAGACGCAGTAATTGTTGACCATCAGCTGACCACCAATCGACCGCATCCAACCTTGCTTGTTTCAAATTACAAAAGAGTAATAGGGGGAGTTGAATGGTATAGGTAGAAATTCGTCCCATCTAGACTCACTCAGACAGCCGCCACAAGCCCGGAAAAGCACTGTACGCGCGTTTCATCTTTCGGGAATCATCAACAGTTCGCATTCCATCGGACCCTTGGTAGGGCTCAAACCCGCAACTCGACTGTTGCCAGTCCGTGTTTGAGACCACTGAGCTACGGGGGACGGCAACGACCATCGTGAAAGGATGAAACGCGCGTACAGTGCTTTTCCGGGAGTGTGGCGGCTGTCTGAGTGAGTCTAGATGTGATGAATTTCTAAATGTTTTCAAATTGTTAGGTGCCTTGTACGCGACTGAGGAGATAAGCACGAAATGACCGCGTCATCTCACAGCTTACGTCTTCTGATATTTGGATCGTGATTGTTAGTCTCATGTTCTTGCATTGCTATAGGACAAACAAACGTAGACAAAAGCATCAGTTGAATAAAACAATTAGTAGCGGATAGTTTTCCAGATGCAATGTTTAAGCACGTTTATGCAGAACGTTTATGATGCTCAACGGAATATTTGACAATTGGCAGTAACAGTGATTGTCATGAGTAAAAGTCCCTGTGTAGCTTAAATGACAAATATCCTGTTGATACGCGATTGTTCATTTTGAAAAAATGAGGCAAACAAATCCTGGTCATAGTAAGCTACATTACAAAATTGCATCGCATTAGGACTCAATATCACAGCTCAAATTGTAAAGGCAAGCCAAATCCACGCAGTTAGATTTATGCAAACTTTCTTTTATACTCACAATAAGAGACCAGTTACTTCAATGCTTCCGTCATTAAAATCTGGCATTTTAGTTACAACAAATAAAATGATTGGTGTTCTTAAGTCGTTGCTAAAAGCTACCAACTAGAAACAGGTAGCGCTCCTTCAATGAGCGGTATACCCAGCAAAGTTCTGAGCTTCGGAATTTGGTGAATGAGGACACCGTACTCATTTGAGTCAAACTTGTTGAGAAATTCGTAATGCTATTTCGCAAACTGAGGCCCTATATTATTAGAAAACTAGAAGTGATTGCTCTTAAGTGACAGTACTAGTACTGTGCAAGTAAAAACAGTTAACTCTGAGTAAATCACTTTATTGCAGAGTACAGACCAACCTCACCGTCTATCAATGAGAATGCAAAAGGCGAGGTAAACCACTTAGCTCAAATATATATGACCGGAAGGTGAGTAACTAACTTACAGCAAGAAATCACTACATAGGTTAAATACGCCACTTATGCCAGTTTAGAAATACAGTTAGAAAAGTGTACACGAAATTTACTTTTTCACAAACCAAACATCCTTAACTCCATTATTAAAAATCAAATTTGTCTTGCATGCATTTTCCTCGATAGCGCAGATCATGTGATGTGATTCAGAATCATAAAAAATAAATAGATGTTTATCAACTAAAGACCTTCCGTTACATCACTCTGCGTTAGTTGAATACGAAAGAAGACGTCAAGTCGCTTCTCATGTGCGACTAAAACAACCATACCTGTCCTTCAAATGCAAACAGTTTTACTTATATGTTTCACTTTGATTTTGCTTAACTGAAGTTTATCCGGTACCGCTGATTACAAAATCACTTGAATATCGTTACATGAATGGAGAACAAGCTGCTTGTGACTGTGTGTATTTTCAGTGTGTCTTAGAAAATATGCAAAAACATTGCGCTTTTTCGAACAACATACGGTTAGGCACAGCCTACTTCCGAAAGAGCAGCGACATATCCGTCCCACCCTGGTGCTGAAAACTTACGATATACGCGATCTATCTTCCAGTAGGAAGCGGTTCGAACTGCAGTATCGGCAGATCATGAAAAGTCAATAAATAACTATTACACAAATGTAAACATTATATCCCTCCAAACAACTATACTCTTGACAGGAGTTTACAGCACATGCTCGTTTTACACAAGTGCACAAGGTCCCCTCAGCTACCTACCTAGCATAAATGATGAAAAGTCTCAAAATTCTAGGCTCATCACGATAACTGAAAGTATATATATATATATGATTAAACCACTTAAAACGGGGTGGCCTACTTAACTGAACAAGTCCGCTGTGTCAGTTCCGCGCGGTCCTGCGAAGCGGCAACGCTATGACCACAAGCACCATTTATGTGTCTAAACAACTTGCGGTATGTTCCGCGGAACATTCCTGTTCTCAGTGGCACGTGTGGTCAAGTTCAAATTACTTTAGCAGAGGCTATGGATCTTCCGTTTCAGTACACTTCCAGTTGCTGGAGCACACCGCCACCGACCATAGAGAGACAACGCCACCACCAGGGTCAAGCTGAATTGTCTTGAGACTAGAGATGGGTTTTATCCTATGGTATCTTTCTACAAGCACAGTTATTCTGATGCAGACGACACGAACTTAGTTGACTTGAGCTCGTTTGATTTGGTGTTGCAATGTGGTTAGGCAGATCTTGACAAGTTGCAGCTTTCCATGATGTCCAAGCACTTTACAGTTGCCATTAGTTGCAAAAGAACGGAATATAACTAAGCACTTAAAATGACATTGTCTAAAGAGTGCTGATATATAGATATGTAGGTGGCTTCACCGTACATATTAAACCTATATATATGAAACCTATATATATACATATAAATATAGGAAAATGTTTTATATACAACAGTTTCAGATGAACGGTCAACCATCTATTCGAGTACCATTGCATTTACTAATACCGGACTAAGCACGATGCGGAAGCTGTGGCAGCAAAACCACTTAATAAAGCATTAAAATTTGGTGTGGGTATTCTTTTAGGGGTATAAGAATCCACCGTAAAAATGAAAGCACAACACTGGTTTAGAAGTAGTTCCATAAGCAACGATAACACGCTTCCAGCATATAGGTCTCAATAAGATTCCATACCGAATCAGATAAAACTCAAGATCATTCCTAAAGTCATCACAGTGCCTTGGCCCCGTAATATTCCAAAATGTTCGTTGCAGGCTTCTTCCTTGCGTGATCGGGTGCACTTTTTCTGGATTAATCAGCCCCATTCGCCAATAGTGACAGCTTTATTGCGAGGCGCAGTCTCATTGTCCGTTTAAAACTATGGCAAATCACTCTTCCACATCAAACGCTGAAACAGAGCTCGACCTTTCGGTGTGTGTATTATTGAATTATTCAAGCAGTGGTTTTAATTCACTAAATCATTGCCATATGTTAGCTTTTGATGTGCCGCCGTGCACTTGTAGCTATTCAACGGAACAAGAAGTATGCTAGCTATAATTTCCCCATATGGACGCCGCAAAGTTTAGTTAACTAATTAGGAACACAAGCAACAGTCAACAACCGAGCAAGTGCGAATATCACGTATTAGTCTCGTAAGCTCTTCACATTGGCTAACCAATAGCCAATTTGCAAGTTATCTCCTCAGAGCATGAAATCAGGAATACAAGTGGATCTTAATGTCTACAAGGAGTAATCTGTCAGAAT